CCAGCAGCGCAGAGAAGACTCACCACGCAGACAGCCTGCCCGCAGATACCAGAACCGAACACAACCAGAAGAATAACCCCACAGCAGACAAGACAAGGACCATGGACCACTGCAGAACCCCTCTGCCCTGAGTGGGGAAGTCACCCACGGAAGAACACCCAATGACGATTTACCTACAGACTAATCAGATAAGTACAATCCCCTTACCTGGCATGCTACAGCCCACGGACGAAGACTGACAACACCCCCCCAGACTGCCCACCCACAGATGACCTGCCCCAACGCTACGACGAATCCCAACCTGGACTGAGATTGCAAGACTGACCTAAACAAACCTAACTGTATAGAGACAAAATCCACAAATTGATATAAGTCCCCATATCCGAAAAGGAAATCAGAATGGAATTCAAATCAGCAAAGACTGGCAAGGCGCCTGACCCTGATGGATTTCCCGTGGAGTACTTCAAGAAATTTGGAAATGTCTTGATACCAAGATGTAACGGACCGTTTTGCACACAAGGGGTAAAAACCATTTAGGCGATCGTCCCCCTTTCCAGAGATGCAGGCACAGCTATTGTAGAACACCAAACACACGAACCGCCAATAAGTGAATGCTCCAAACTCACGAACGGCATCCAATATAGCACTCCAAACACATGAACAGGAACCATACGAATCACTGCTAGCAGACGAATAGGAAAAGCATCCAAGCGGCTTACACTCCTAGCAATCAGTCTCTATCAGCGTTCAGTAAATCCCCCCAAAGACGAGACAAGGCTCCGTGTTAAGGGTCAAGCAGTGGTCAGACAGAGCTGTGGGTTTATTGTGCTTATGTACACATTCTTACACATTAGTACCACCCACAGGGTTTTGGAACACCACCAATAAACACATACAATACACTCAGACACTCCCACATAAATTCCTCCCGTCTGCATGTGATTCAATTACCTTACACAATGGGTAATGTAATTTAGCACAAGCAGAGAAATACAATTTTTCCACATTATTCATAACTTGAAAAGTATGCATCACATTCACATACTCCAAATACAAACATACGTCAAAATCATACAAATTGGTCCAGTGGTTCAAAAGATAGATCGTAGTCCTTTGTGACCACAGGAAGCATGGCTTTTCTGCCCAAAACCAGTTCCACAGAGTCTTCTATCCTGGAGATAATTAGAAGTAATCCAATTATCTCCAAAGACAGAGGCAAAACTCCATTGAACACATGGCAGCAAAAAGACAGTAAAATACAATAAAATACACAAGGTTACATTTATGACATAAAATAAAGACATGCAACATATGCCCAGATAGCTTAGGTCTGAGCGCACATTATTACTGAATGGCGCTCAGAGCACACACATACAGTTCAATTGCCATGGAGCCAAAGTCTTTCCCATAGTCTTTCATTATACGAATGGGCTCCATGGCATAGCTATCTGGGGTATCACTGCTCAAACAGGGCAAGCACCAAATGACCGGGCTTTCTTGTCTTTGCAGGGGAAAATCAAGCCTTTTAACATGGGGCCATAATCCAAAGGCAACAGGCGAGCAACCAGGCTTCTCCAATGCAATGTGGCAAGATTGCTCTCGTCACTAACGAAGGCATTAAACAGACTACGGGAAGGAGCATATCTCCACAGGGAATCCCTAGCAGCAACTATCACGGTGATCCCCAAACCAGGTAAAAAAAACAAAAATGTCAGCAACTACTGTCCATTTTCCCTCCTCAACACGAATGTGAAACTCTTCTCCAAGATTCTAGCCTGTGACTCAGAATAAGGGGGGACTAAGTACCTGGACGCACGTTGGGGAGGGGGAAGCACCTATTCCACTAAGTGTTAAGTACCTGAATGTAAAGGAGGAAGAAACACCAAAAGCGACGAGACCTAGCCATCCACTGAATACTGGAAAACTCGGATGCAAAGGGGAGGAAAGGACTTGGGGGGAGAGAGGGCGAGGATGGAAGAAACGGGAGTGCAATGGGGGGGGTGGGAGGAAGGAAGAGGGGATGGAGGGAAGGGGGGTAAGGGAGGGAGCAGGGAGACAAACAAGTAAATCTACAAAAGGGAGGGCAACAAACTGTATAAAAATAGAGTGTATGATAATCACTACTGCTACCCGTGACCCTGCATAGCCATGCAGACATCGAGGCCACCACACCTAATGGTGGGTGCCCTAAATATTTGAATAGGAGGGACAGCACACAAGAGCCCCTACCCACAAGACTAATCAACACCCTTAGCAACCAACAGACCGCTCCCACACATTCAGCCAATCCAACTTACGCACACTCCTGCTACCACACAACAAACAGACACCTACTAGAAGACAGCTTCCCCCCTTAGGAAGACGATAGACCACCCCACACAGATCAGAGACAACAACAGATGACAGTATATAACAGAACAGGAAGCAGGGGGTGGGATCAACCTGACACACTAAAAACACTAGATGCCAGACCCACGTATGTCCTCATCAGCTAATACTACTCATAAGCATAGCGCCCCCGCCTAAGACTTAACACCGTGGGCAATAGGACTCTCCCAGAATAACTGATTAGACCCACAACACCACAACAGAAACGGAACTACCACATTAGTGGAGACCCACTCCAGTTGACCCCAGGTCACGGCCCGAAACTAAAACCATTTATACCAAGGCTACTGAGGGAGCCACAGCTGGCACCGCTCCGGTTCACACTGAGTAGCAGTACAGCTTTGGTAGTCCACTCAGTTACACGGAACCCCCCTCATTGAGGGAGGGCACACTTGCCAATTGCCACGCCTCCCAGGCCTCCGACCCACTCCATACACTCGATTCCAAGCTGCAGGCTCCTCTAGCAGCCACCCGCCAACACACCCAGGAGGATCGATGCTGGGAAATACACCACAACACTCCACACCCCCATTAACCACTACACACCACCCTCATCCTAGTTTCTCCCCCATTCAACTCACCCTACCTACCCACACAGCTACTCACAAGATGCGCTCGAGCCCCACCTGGAAGGATATAGGGGGTTCCACATAAGACAGACAAAACCCTGACTGTAACTCATACCGCACACAAACAGTTTTTCAAATGACATACTCTCCTGCACCCCTACTTATTACCTCACAAAATTGCAGGGGACTTAATGCACTGGAGAAAAGATCACATCTTCTCCGAGACCTTAAATGACAACATGTCTCCATTGCACTCCTACAGGAAACTCACCTTAAGATAGACGCGAATCCGCTACTCAAAGACAGGAATTACCCGGTGAACTACTATAGCAACCACCCAACATCGCGAAAAACTGGGACCACAATTCTACTTGCGGCAAACCTGCAGTTTGTTTTAACTGAGAAAATGATAGACCCGGATGGTAGATTCCTCTTTGTAAAAGGGGAAATATCACAGAAAACACACACACTAGCCAACATATACAGGTGATACTTGGAAAAATTAGAATATTGTGCAAAAGTTCATTGAGGCAGTAATTGCTGCAAAAGTGGCCCAAACCAAGTACTGAGTCCATATGCATGCTTATACTTTTCAGAGGTCCGATATTGTTCTATGTACACTCTTTGTTTTATTGATTGCATGTAATATTCTAATTTACTGAGATTGTGGATTTGGGGTTTTCATGAGCTGTAAGGCATAATCATCGCACTTATGAATACCTCCCACCATAAAGCACAATGAAACAGCTGGATACCTACAAGACTTCAACCCGGACTCCCTCACACCGGCAGAAGCGGAAGCACTAGAAGTCCCCATATCCGAAAAGGAAATCAGAATGGAATTCAAATCAGCAAAGACTGGCAGGGCGCCTGGCCCGGATGGATTTCCCGTGGAGTACTTCAAGAAATTTGGAGATGTCTTGATACCAAGACTAACGAAGGCATTAACGGGAAGGAGCATCTCTCCACAGGGAATCCCTAGCAGCAACTATCACGGTGATCACCAAACCAGGTAAAATGTCAGCAACTACTATACATTTTCCCTCCTCAACACGAATGTGAAACTCTTCTCCAAGATTCTAGCGACTAGGCTGCAGGCTTACATGACCAGACACATACACCCGGACCAGGCAGACTTCATCCCGGGAAGGGAGGCAAGAGATTGCACCCTACGGCTATTCACGATCCAACATCTAGCAAAACAAATCGAAAGAAAGCTGCTCCTACTCTCCACGGACGCAGAGAAAGCTTTCGACAGAGTAGACTGGCACTTCATGATGGCAACATTACACAAGGCCGGAATCGGCAAAGGGATGCTCACACGGATAACTACGCTCTATCGCCAGCCGAACGCCAGAGTTAGAGTAAATGGAGCGCTCACAGATAGATTCACCATACGGAATGGCACTCTCTTGCCGCTACTATTTGTCAAGGAAGAACAGCATGTCGTCCGCATAGGCAGCCACTTTGTGTTCTTGTGCTTTTTTATCGTAGTCTGGTTATTGTTGGGGTTCTCCTGATTTGGTCCAGAACTTGGTGAGAGCAAATAGTAGCGGATCATTTAGGGCCCCCACCCACCGCTTATAAAGCCTTGCCCCGCCCTGCAATTAGGCTCAGAGCACTCTGATTGCTGGGTTTAAGCCATCCAATCAGAGGGCTCTGACAGGTAAATAAAGAGACTGAAAGGTAAGTCTCTGCATTTACCTGTCACAGCTCTCTGATTGGTTGTCTTGAAATCCACCAATCAGAGTGCTCTGTGTTATTTTACACAGCATGGGAAAGTTCTTTGGAATTTTTCCACGCTGTGTAATTTGACTCATAACACTCTGGTGGATTGCAAGCCAACCAATCAGAGAGCTGTGACAGGTAAATGCAGAGACTTACCTGTCAGTCTCTTAATTTACAGACTGTAAATGAAGGCTGCTCACTGTTTAATAGACTTGCCCCTACTCGCGGTATAGCGAGTAGGGGCATAATTTAATAATACTAAGTAACCAGCTTATATAGAGGCTGGGTCACATGCTGCACTGGCCAATCACAGCCATGCCATTAGTAGGCATGCATGTGATGGCTTCTAAGGGCACACGAGTCAAACGCTTGTTGATTGGCTACCCTGCAGCCTTTCAAAACACGCCATTAAATCGCCGAACACCGAACTCCAACATACAGTGATATGTCCATGTTTGGGTCCAGGGTCCAAAACTCTTAATGTTTGATACGGTCAACTCTAGTTACAACATATTATAGGTGATTTTCTATGTTTTATTGACTTATGTCATTCCCAGTGAAGTGACAGTTCTCCTTAAACGAGCAATGACCAGCCCTATGTCAGGATAGAAAATCCTAATAATTTAGCATACTGAACTTTCAGACGTCTCCTGAGTGGAATTAGCCATTATCAAACTTTAATTTTAAAGACTAGGTTGTTATAATAGAATACATAGTCATTGGTTTTTAAGAGATTGCAGGAATTACTTTACTTAAAGAGTATACAGAGAGCACATGGAAAATAAGATGATAGCATATCAGAGGACTAAATTGATCCAAGCAAAACAGATTAACC